TATGTATGTGTATTATTTAATTACCGTTTCAATAAATGCATCTCCCACTTTTTGCTGCATATCCCAGTCGTCGAGCCGGTGCTTCAACTCGGCCAAGAATTTCTCGTGTATCTCGAGTATGTCGGGCACCATGAAGAATATCTCATCCACAGTCCGGGTATCAATCATGCCCGCATGCTCCGGGGACTTCAGCACTTTCAGATACTTGAGCACAACTGTTTGCAGGGACTCCACGTAGGATTGCTCGTTGCGGTAAATCTCTTGCACGACGTAAGTGCGAGTGTCCTGCAAAATGAAGCCAAGGACAAAGGGAAAGCCATTTTTTATGAAATACGAATCATTTATATAAATTATTATAATCGAGTCGTTAGCCGCCACCACACTTACGCCATCATAGCCGCCCAGATTCCATTTGCAGTTAATATCGAACTGTGCTCGCCTCTCCGAGTCGTCTTCCGAATCGGAGCAAGTGATTGAAGTCATTTTCTTAAGCCTATCACATTTGTCATTTTGATGGGACGCCGTACCGAAACCGGCTTTACTCAGCCGAGCCACCGCGGTGGTGGCCTGCGACACCGCCTGTGATACACTGCTGCTGCTGCTGTTGCTGCTCGCCGGCAGTACGGAGGCTGCCGCCTGCGGCTGTGTCACCGGAGCTTGTGGCTGCGGCAGCAGCGGGGCAGCAATCGTGTTCGACGGTGCAGTTATGGTGGTTTGCAAGTCCAACAAACTTAAGCGAAGATTTTCGCGATTGAGCGACATTTTCGGGTTTAATTGCGGCTGTGCTGCTTCTTTCTCTTATGCGTCTGCTTACTGTTTCTGTTTACTTCGAGTTAATGCGTGCACTGATTGGTAAACACACCATATAATACCGTGAGTGTCTAGCTGAGCAATTGATTGTCTCGACGTTTCAAACTAAATCGCTGAGACAAAGTAAAGCCGCGTGCTTGTCCATCTATTAACGGCAGGCAGGTAACTAAAATGGCAATGCATTTCATTGGAAAGGAAACACAGTGGAATCATCTGATGTGGTGGACTGATGGACTGGAGGACTGACGGAGCAGGAATCTCAGATACACTGAGTGAGACTCATTGATGAATCTGCGTAGATGTGCGAGTGGGGGAACTGCTTCTCAGCCCACGGGAGAGTACGCAGAGTGAATTTCTGAATTTATTTATTTCTCTAGGTTGCAGCGACACAGACTACAGATACCTTATGAAACAGCAAGACGAAAAGGTGTTTGCGTAGGAGTTTGTTGGTCACTCAGATGGAACCACTCATAGGCATACATACATATATATAAATACTGAATACATATGTATATATATGTACATGCATATGTAAATACCATACAGGCATGCATACATACTATTCACAGAAGGGAAATTATTTAGAATCAAAATCAAATTCACATAAACTGTAGCCAAATATCACTCGAACAAAATATATACAAAATGACTTTGTATTGATTGAGCTTTTTCACGCAAAACTAGGCACACAATTTAGTTAAAGGAGTGACTACACCAGCGCACATGCGAAACACCACACAACACACACGACACTCAACATTCAACACACAACATAGAGCACAACACAATTACAATTTGTTCGATCTGCGCGGCGCAACAAGAGGTTGGGTATCGTAGCCGAAATGGTTTTGTGTATGCATAAGTATGTATGTAATTAGATACATACATACGCACACAGACACGTATGTATATCTAGGCATAGATATGTATGTATGTATGCTTTGGCCACTAGTTACTATTTTCGCCCTTCATATGGGCTAGGCAGTCGCTGCCTCCTCCTAATGGGCAAGGATTTTCAATTGCTTTTATCTGCTCTACACACGTTTACAGACGACAGACATAAGTTGATGCATGTATACACACACACATATATACATATATATATATATGTATGTATGTAGTGGGAATACTTGTCTAGCGTAGTGTAGTGCAAAAGTATTTTGTTGTTTTTCCATTAATTGACGCTGACTTGATGGGCCTGTTGTTATGATATACTTAGAGCTTTGCGAATCGCTGCTGCTAATATTTGGTGTATTTGGTGTCTTGCTGCTGCTGCTGCTAATGCTGTTGTTGTTGAATTTTTCAAGTAACTGTTTAGATTAATATATTTCCCACAACACCACACAAAATAAAACAAACGAAACACGAAAAATTTCGCCATACAACTGAGGTACGAAAAGCAAACAAGAATTTAAACGCGCGCATTGACGTTGGCGGAGAAGATTCTGTTGCTGCGCGGGAGAGCATCGACTATTAATGTGTGTGAGGTGTGTGTGCGTGTGCGGGTGTGCGGG